TATGTGTTTAGCATAAATAATGATTACAGAAATCTAGAAAGTTCACAGTAAACAAGTCAGCCAATAAGCATATATATATACATATAGTTAGTTCTCTATGCACTAATTTCGCCTCACCCAGCTTTAAAAGTATGCATTTTTGCGTCAACACATTATTGATTACACTTGTTTTAAATTGGTCATCGTTATATTAACAAGTAGAAAATGTTGTTAAGAGCGAATGCTTGATATACATTTTTTCAATTATGAAGATCTTTTTATATTTCATAGTATGAATTGTGTTGTTTCTTAGTTTCATATGAAACTTTTATGGACAAAAAAACACACCAACAACAACTGCTCAATCCTCTTTTTCATTATTATTGTTCCCTTGTGTTCCTAGTGGAACATAGGGCTTCAACTGCACGTCTCCACTTGCTTCTGTCTTCCTTCTGTTGTACTTTTCACCTGCATCCACGTTAGTCCACACTGTTTCAACTCCTCTTCACACAATCTCCTCCATGTTACCCTTGCACTGACATCCCTTTCGCCGCTTCCCTTTCGGGTTCCACTCGAGGGCTTGACGCGCGATGTCACCCAGTGGCGGCCTCCTCAGCGAGTGAGTGTCCAATCCATCTCCACCTTCTCCTGCATACTTATTGGTTTGCGGTTGGTTCTTGTTTTGTTTCTTTTCAGTCAGAGTTTCATGTTGGTGGCCCGGCCATCTGATCTTCAGTATAGATCCAGCGAAGACAGTTGTTGATAAAGGTCTGCATGCAACAGGCTGTTGGAAATATTGATGATGCGTAGAGTTGCAATTTGGTCAGGACATGATTTGCCTTTCCTGAATCCAGCTTGTTCTGGTCAGAATTCTGTATCCAGTGCATCCTTTATTCTCTCCAGGATGATGCGACTCAGGATTTTACTTGGCGTCGATAGGAACATGATTCCTCGCCAGTTCTTGCAGAGTCCTAAGTCGCCCTTCTTTGGTAGTTTCACGAGGTAACCTTTCCTCCAGTCAGTAGGCACCTTTCCCTCCTTCCAGACCTTTTGCAATAGTGGAGTCAGCATATCTGCTATAGTCTCTGGGTCCGCTTTCAGCAGCTTGATTACATTCAAAACTTCAGCTTTCGTTGGAGGACTGGTGTCAACTTGCAGTTTTGTACGTGCTGTTGTTGGTATTACTGGACGGATTGCAGATGATGGTCGGTTCAAGAGTCCTTTGAAGTGATCCGTCCATTGTTCGATCTGTTTTTCTTCCTTCGTAATTGGGTTTCCTTGGCTGTCTTTTATAGGTTTCACCTGTCTTGATCTCTTCCCGGATAGAGACTTGGTTATCTGATATAGTGTCCTCAGGTCCCTTTTTCCTCCTGCCTTTTCAGCTTCAGTGGGCAGGTTGTCGTAGAATTGTCTTTTGTCCCTCCTAGCACTCTTCTTCACTTCTTTGTCCAGTGCTGTGTAAGTTGATGTCAGCATCTCTTTCTCCTGTCCGTCCTTGAATTGAATCATTTTCTCTTTCACCATTCTCCTTTCTTCTATTAATTTCCGAGTGTCCGCTGAGAGCCATTCCTTGTCTTGTCTCTTCTTTCTTCCTAGAACCGTTGAACACGTTTCGTTGAGAATCACCTTCAGAGACTTCCAATGGTCTTCCATGCATGATTTTTCAGTGATGCCGCGAAGTGTTTCCTGCTTTGCTTTGACAGTTGCAGTGAAAGTGTCCTTTGTGGTTGTGTCCTTCAGTAATTGAGTGTTGAACTTGCATTGTCGCCTATCTCAAGCTATCCTCAAGGTTTTTAGTTTCACCCTGAAAGTCTCTTGTACTAGATAGTGGTCTGAACCCACATCTGCTCCCCTCGTCGACCTTGTGTCCAGTAGGCTCCGTCTCCACTTTCTTGAAATTGAGATAGAGTCTATTTGGTTCTTGGTGTTTCCATCTGGTGAAATCCATGTCGTCTTGTGTATATCCTTGAGTTTGAACACACTGCCACCAATCACCAAATCATTGAAGGCGCAGAAGTCTGAGAAGAGTTCACCATTGTCGTTCATTTCACCGAGGGCCTCACGACCCATGGTGAGTTCTCTTCCTGTGTTGTCTCGTCCCACCTTCGCTAACATGTCGCCCATCAGGATTTTGATATCGCCATTTATGACGTTGTCCATTATTGCTTGTAGTTGCCTGTAGAACGCCTCCTTCTTCTCTTGTTCTGAGACGTTTGTAGGCACATAGCATTGGATGATTGTAACATTCCTTCCTTTTGAGTTGAACCTGGCTGTCATTATCCTGGAGGAGATTGGTTCCCACTGCATGAGAGCTTTGGCTGGTGTTGGTGACATCATGATGGCCAGTCCCTCGGTGTGCTCGTGGTTGTCCTCTGGGTGGCCGGAATAGATTATTGTCTTTCTAGTTGGTAGTTGGCACCTTTCAGTTCCGTTCCATCTGCTTTCGCAGATTCCCAACACTTCTATTCTGTACCTTCTCATTTCAGCGGCTATCTGGGGAGCCTTTCCAGTTTCGTACATTGTACGGACATTCCAGGTACCCATCCTTACTTTTACTTTCATCGAAAGAAGGCACATCGGCTGACTGGCTTCCCGAAGGCTTTCACCAGCCTGCGTCATTTCACTTCCCCGATTCCAGCGAAAAATAAGGCTATTGTTTATATTTTTAGAATTTTTTATATATTGGTGCATTGAAGTTTCTGTAGCGGTTTGGTTGAGTTTCGGGGATGGAGTTGCTAGCACCACGCCCCAACCCTCTCTCTTTGTCCAGACTTGGGACCAGCTATAAAACTAGCAAGCTAGTAGTCTAGGCGAGGTTTTTCATCATTATTAACTATTGGTATTCCTGTTACAGTTGAATAGATTGTTTTTTTTTTATTATCTCTTTCCAACTATTGACTCATTCGACTAATTTAGTCAATTGTGACTAAGCCGCAATACTGGGCAAAATTGTCAGGAATAAATCATTTGGGTGTGGTCTATGAAAGACCGTCTTTTTTTAACTATTGGTGTTTTAGGGTAATGCCTACTTTTGTGATTATCCGTTAGTATATATAACATAACATAAATTGTAGGAATCACCTCACCTTAAATGCGGATATAATCTAGGTCTAGGTTGTAAATATCAATCAGGATTATTTCCACAAGTTGTGTGTATAAAGAATGATTTTAGCCTCTACGCAAAGCAGTCAGGGTCACCTGTGAATAAACAGAATTACTATCTAGTGTAACAGCAGAAGGCAAGACACGGAAGCCATGGTATATTTTCAAGTGATCAAACCGCTATTTATATATACACAGTTTTAGATTCTCTAACCAATCATTAAGCGCGTGGTTTTGGCTTACATTAAACGAAATGAAATAGAATGTTCACATATACATAGTGTATTGTCGCTAATGCCGACGTGAACTGTAAGAATATTTGAAAATAATATTCCTTTGGAAGACATTGTCTGTATCACTATACCACATTAGGATAGCAGAGTTTGTTTGTTCGCATTCCTGACTGTTCACATTGTTATCACTGCTGTTGCTACTAGGTATTTGGTGTTCATCACACAGAAGTGTATGAGTTATTTCAAAATTTTGAAAGATGTGTCTATCAACCTGTCCCAGTACATAGCATGAAGAATCATGAAATCTTTTTTGAGTTGACTTTATCTTCTTTAAGCCTTTGGGTGTAAAAGACGAAACCAGTTAAACACTTTGGCTACCTGATGAACGCCCCTAAGTTATTGACTGACTGGTTTCAACGTAACTAGAACTTTACACAAATGTGTAGCAGTTCCAATTGCCACTCTCCTTCCATGTAGCACATAAACCAAGAGAAAGAAGTAAATAGAGAGGTTCAAAAAAGAGATAGTGAACAGAAGTGTGAAGGAAAAAGAATAGTAATACAGGAGGACAATAGGGTTTAATTGGATATGATAAATCGCAAAGAGTGAATGTATCTGCACCGCCCATTGAGAACGATTTTGAACCATATCACCGATTGTCTCCAACCGCTGGTTCTTACCATGTCGACCACGCCGAACACACAGTCCGCACCTACCTACTTGGTCAGCTCAAAGTAACTGTCAAAGATTTCATGGACTGGTTCCATGCTTCCATTTGATCACTACATGATCCTTTCCAACCTGATCCATCCTATATCAGTGGCTAGCATTGTCCATTGACGAAGGTGATGGCTGGACATGTGTAGCACATGTCTTAGCTATCTCAATCGATGTAATTTCAAAACATCATCTATAGATTTTTCCTGTTTACCTAACACTCTACATATAACTGCATCATAACGCACCCTATTATACCAACTAAAACGGAAGACAGAACCGAGACAACTATGATCAAAGACAGCTAGCTTTTTCATGTCTTCCACTTTCAATGACCATGTCTCACAGCCAGCCATAAAGAAGGACAGAGCGACCCGCTGTGCAGTACACACGCCCTTTGGTCGACAGCCCAGTATCACCACTACTCCAGAGATGGCGTATGCTAAACGAATCTTCTGTATCCGTGCTGAGATTTCGTCACCGATCAACTCGTTGAGGCTGATGCAACTCCCCAGATAAGTGAAGTGGACTCAGCTGACAGTTACAAATGAGATCACCAGAAGAATGCTCGTCAACTATGTCTCGCCTCAGGTGGTCCCGGATCTGATTCCCAATTGATACACCTCTTAACCTCGCTAAACTGTTTATGAGATCCGTAAAGAGGAAAGTTTTGAAATGAGGTTAGCAATGGCCATCCCTTAAAAGTAAATGTCACCGTTACTGAAACTTCAAAGCTCTAGCTTGGAGTCGTATATTCCACTCGCAACATAAAGGAATAAAATATATAAACAATATTAAAACTATTACTGATGATTGTTCTACGACTTTATTAATTTTACAGTCCTACAGAATAAATTACACCATGTATACACAGACACACCTCTACTCAACCTTCTTCAGTTTAATTAATCGAATAGTAAAAAAATATCTCTAAAAAAACAACCTAAAATGATAAATAAAATGACTTACAGGATCACCTTCACTAAACTCTTCTATTTGTTGTTTAAGATAGGTTTCCATCCACTGAGATCGTTCACGAAACTGAAAAATTAAAAAAAAATTACAATTAAATATCAAGTATTGATTTTTGTAGGGATTTTGTTTGATTGATTGGTGGATTTCATCGTGAGTTGACATCAGCTAGAGAACCATTGGAAAAATCTAGCAGTACTGGACAGCTGCTTCGTCCTAGTTTGGGACTCTTCATAAGTACGCTTCCACCAGGGTTAAAACCCAGGACCTTCTAGTTACAAGGCAAGATGTGACCGGTAGGCTGCAGCAGGTTGAAGGTGAGGCAGTAACTTATTGAAGACGACATTGCGAAGTGTTTACGCTGTCATGAATTGGCAGAAGTTGGAATTTATAGACTAACCATTAGATCGGGTCGCAGTGATTTGACGGTCTACGAACTCTCTGGCCTTGTGACCAGGAGGTATAAGGTTCGAACACGCGTGGGTGCGTACTGATGAAGACTAGCAAACAAGGACGAAACAGCTGCTCGATTCTACCAGGTGGTTTCCCAGTGGTTCTCTAACTGATTATAACTATCACTTTTTTTGTGATACAACGTCAACAGGTACCAAAACCTTTAACTAGCTAGCTATACTTGAAGTCAATTGGCTAACGATGACTAGCAGTAGAATCCATGATGCGCATTTCATCCTATTTGAGACTCGTTATCTGGATGTACCTGTAAACTGACTTAAATAGCTAGCTAGTTATACGCTAGATGAAACAATATCACAGTTAATATAGCAAGAAATAAACCACACAAATTACACATATCTTTTCTGCATAATCAGTTAAAGCGCCATTACAATCTACTTCAACTGACCATCCTCACAACTAAATACACACATATGCGTACCTAGTTTACCCACGATCTGAAGTTAATTTGTAGGGAATTAATTGTTTTAGGCTTAAAGGATATACAAATAAGATAAATGACGATATCAGTTGAAATAATATTCACTTTCAGTAAATTTGCACTGTTTCAAAGCATTCTAGTGAGAGAAACAATTGAGGCAGTTGTCAGGAGTCACTACGATAAACTATTTTCACAATTATTCATAAACACAATGACGTTTGAAATATACACCCATCATCATATGTCAACAATAAACTCTGGAAAATCAAAATTAATTCAAATCCTCACGAAGAGAATAATATGAATAACAATCGCAAGTTCATGGATGGCTAATGAATGGATTTCTTGAGTGGTAGTGGGATCTCGTGACCAGTAGGGTTCACAATTTCTAGATGGATTAGATGCCCATAGGAAGGCGTTGGTGAGGACAGCGCTTCATCACAAGGGAATGCCGAATAACAAATACATCATACTGATCAAGGGACTAACACAGCCAGGTGAGAGTTTTCACCTGAAATGACGAAAACCAGTAGTGTCTGTCACAGATGACCACCGTCCCATGTATTCAGTCTAATCAAAGATGTACTAATGGACTTAACCCTAAATGACTTCAGCAACTTAGGGATTGACTTGTTACCAGAGTATAATCACGTTCATTTAGAATATGCGGATAATATAGTCCTCCTAGATGAAGACGCTGATAAATTGCAAAGTCTTCTAAACACATGCAGTAGCAACCTTCGAATGTTTGGCATGCGATTGACTCCTCTCAAATGCTACAGCACTGGAATACACCTACCTCTAACTTAAGAGATTGAAATGGTGGAGCGTATTGATCACTTCACTTATTTGGGTAGTACAATCAGTTCAAATCGACTGGTTCCTGATCAGAACTGAGAATGGGCACAGAAGTCTCGTGTGGTATTTGCCAACTTGGCGGCCTGCTTAAATCTTGGGCTACCAATTACGTTAAACATTACAAATCATATTGCATCTAATTTCTCATTTCTAATTGATATTTTAATCAATAAATCTTATTCAAATATGACCTCAAATCGGATTATTTATTCTCGTGAATATCTAATATCTTTAAAACCTACTGATCTGCAACTCCATAAAAAAGACAAGAAAAAGCATCATGCCGGCTGGCAGAGAGCATTAAAAAATACCCCTATTCAATTCATGACTGTTCCCGCAATTATGAGTACCAATTGTCGCTCCCTGCCGGCTAAAATTAACTGTCTTCAATCGCTGGTGTCTTCCATTATATATCATAATACTGGGATCATATCACTTCAAGAAACATGGCTTCATGATCTATATGATGACAATCTAGTGTATCTAAATAATTTCAAACTATTCAGACAAGATCGGTGTAGTTCCAGGAAGAAACGCGGTGGCGGTGTCGCCATCTTCATCAATTCACAATGGTGTACGTCTAATAATGTATGTTTCAAATTCTCTAGTGACAATATTGACTGTCTCACCGTTAAGTGTCGACCTAAACATTTGTCAAAATACAACTACATTTACATCTCGAACATGTATATTGCTCCTGGATGCAACTCCACAGAATTATCTTTATTTGCGGATGAATTTACTTCCCTTGCTGCCACCTCCTTCGGAAATTCCTTGTCTATAGTTACTGGTGATTTTAATTCTAGTGACCACAGCTTCCTAATTTCACTTGGACACGATAATATTGTCAACTTCCCGACTAGAATGGACAACACTCTTGATCTTGTGTTTACAAACGATGCAGGAATATTTGAAGCTCGAAAAAGAGCCCCACTACTAAATTCAGATCACTGTATCATAAGAATATTGCCCAAAGTATATGGAAAGCAGCACAAAAGGGTCTTCTCATACCTTGGAAAGAAAACACAACACAGATGTTATTCCCATGACAACATACTGAACCTAAGGTCCATGTTAAAAGACACAAACTGGGATCTATTTACTGAACAAGCTCTTGATAACACAATTGCCAACATAACACATTATCTTAATTTCTGTCTTGATGTTTGTTGTCCAAAAGAGACAATCTTCTTAAAATTCGATCGCTTCTCCTCTTCTCAACTCAAAAAGCTCCGCCGTGAAAAAGAAAGGTTGTTCAAAATGAAAAACAAATCTGGTGTTAAGAGAATGAACACTTTGATTAAGCTTGAATTACAAAGATTGAATGCTCTCTATAACCAGAAGTTTCTTTCATGTAAATCCCCATCAAATATGTGGAAGTTATTAAAGGAAATCACAGGTGGTAAGCAAATGTTGAATGATATTTCTGTAGATGTTAACATGCTTAATGAATCCTTCATATGTATCCCAGCAAATGTTATGATTCCTAACTCAAATAGTGTAAACAATGACTGCTTCTCATGCTTTAACACGAATGATGTCCTCAAGTGTCTTCAATCTCTCAAGCCTACTCAGTCCCTCGGTCCTGATGGTGTTCCTGCTGTTATCCTTAAGAAGTGTGCCGACATCTTGTGTTCCCCGCTAACTGACATTTTCAACGAATCGTTTTCCAAAAGTATTATACCTGAATCATGGAAAAACATCAAGATCGTTCCAGTGCCTAAATCTACAAGTGGACCTAATGTTAAGTTTAGACCCATTTCAATTACCTCACCCTTTTTGAAAGTTATGGAAAGACTTATTTTACTTAATCTTGATCCCTCTTTAAAACCTTTCAACGACCCCAACCAGTTTGCTTATAAACATAGTAGGAGTACGTTAGATGCCGCTGTCGTCCTCCACCATAGCATAGTCTCTAGTTTAGATAAAGGAGCTAAATACGTTCGCTGTGCCTTCCTTGATTACACATCTGCATTTGACTCTGTTCCCAGGTCTCTCTTGCTAAGTAAGCTTGCTGCAACACAGGCTGAAAGCTGGACAAATAAGTGGTTGCATTCCTATTTTTCTGAAAGGAAGCAGTACACCGTCTACAATGGAAAATCCTCCACTACCTCACTTACTTTAGCTGGTGTTCCTCAAGGTGCTGTTCTTTCTCCCTTTCTGTTTTCGTTTTTCTTACATGACTTGCCTCATTCTGATGTAGCCACTTTTGTTAAGTATGCCGATGACCTCTCGGTTTCTATGCCTGTCAACTCTCAGTCAGATTGTTCCAAATTAAATAGCTTTCTGTCGGAAATTAGTCAGTGGTCCTCTTCAAACGGACTTAAGCTTAATCCGTCTAAATGTCAGGTAGTCAATTTCACTTTCAGACGTAAATGTGACCTACAGCAACTAGTTAGCTCACATGGCCCCACTCTCATTGACGGCACAGAGGTTGAAAATACATCTAATGTCAAGTACCTTGGGCTGAGTTTTTCCACCGATCTTTCCTGGTCTTCCCACATCTTGCTAGTTACTAGAAAGATGTTTCGCTTAACGTTCTACATTAGGAAATTTAGGCAGTCTGGTATAAAGCAATCTTTACTTTCTCAATTTGTAAATTCTTGTATTCTACCCATCCTCCTTTACTGCTCCCCATTAGTCTTTCCTGGACTACTTAAGAAAGACTTTGCTTCGCTGAGAAGGGCACTAAAAGCTGTTAGTAGGGCAAGTGGGATATCGTTAAACCAACTGGTGAACACTATTGTAGATAGACATATTATGTCATGTAAGAAACTAGCGAATACAATATTGTCGGACCCCGAGCATCCTCTCTATACGCATCTATCTCCTTGCATTTCATCTGGTAGAACTAGAAGCAGCTATAGGCGGCTATATGCTAGGACTACCAAATACAAAAACTCCACAATACCATATCTGGCACAGCTGTTATGTGATGAGAAATCCGTTAGGTATGACACGATAAACTTACTGCGGCACTCTAACAAATAGTCTCATTAGTTTTTGTTTTCCTTTCCTCGTTACTATTACACTGTTGTTCTCATCTTCTACCACACATCAACTTTATATTTCAAATCCTGTGGTGCATTGTTTGAAATGTAATACTCTACGCTGTTTTTTTTAATTTTTAATTTTTATTTATTTATAACTTATTTATTTTATTTTTATTTATTTATCTTTGATTTTTAAAAATCTTATATAATTTATGAGGTAATTAGATGCAATATACTGTAATGCACGCTGAAAATTCCATACCTGTACCACAAATACCGTTTGGAATAAAGCTGTTATTATTATTATTAAAACTTAAGCCATC